AATGCTTAAAAATTATCTATATACATTTTCCACAGTTGTGCAAAATTATATGTTTAAGCATTTTTTGTATTGTTCTTGATTTAAATTTTCACAGTTACAGGAAATTACGGGGGGTCAGACAATAATAATCTAATGACCGTGGATGATGAGATTCAAAAAATTAAAGCTTTATAAATGTTAAAACACAAACTGTCAAAATAACATGTCAAAATTTCAGCCTTAAATCAAACTCTAAGAAGTTCTCAAACAGCATTTTTCTTACTTTACCAATCTGAACATTTCTGTTAATATTGATGGAAATATTTTTTTGTCATTTTGTGTGTGTATGGTGAAATTGACATTTATCGACATTTGCCGATAAAAATCTAATCCTGCCAAGCCTAGTTGAGTGTCACTGTGAGGTTGGATTTGAGTAGCTCGTATATATGATGTACACAGAAGCAGATGACCAAAATGCATACAGTCAGACTATGTATTATCACCAGACCCTATTTCATTTTTCAAATTATGAATGCAGAAGGTAGCAAAGTCCAAAAAGTACAGCATATTTTATTCTTGGATTGTTTGTCCTGGTATTCAAAGCTACACATGGATGTTAGCCAAGAAGAAAATTAAGGAAGCTGAGGTAACTTAGTTAACAGTGATTTATTATATGATACATTGCAAACCTTCCTGGAGCCCCAATACAGCAAAGCACTAAAGAACATGCTTTTTGAAGTCAATGGGATTCCACATGTGCTTAAAGGGAAGCATATGCTTAAGTGGTTTGCAGGATTGGAGCCTTAAAGAAAGGGAAATTTGACTATGTTGCTGTTTTTTCCCCAATAAAACTGTTATTCACTAGGAAGACTTCTTTTTTCCTCAACAAAAATCTGAAAATCTAGCTGCATTGTATTGACCATTAACAAATCCTTGTTGAAAGTAATTACTTGCCATTCAAACCCTAACACAATTTATCACTACAGTTCAACCTGTGCTTTTGTCCCCTCCAGTTCCCTCCCTTAGCAGTTGCAAGATTTAAGGCCTGGTCTACACTACGACTTTAATTCGGATTTAGCTGCGTTAATCCGAATTAACCCTTCACCCGTCCACACTACAGAGCCAGT